TTGCTACGTACTTGCTTTTGTTGAAGTAGAGCTTGTGATGTCATTATCTGATATTGCATTTATTCAACACCAGATAATTCAAAAATTCTTGAAGTTTAAGAATTACTTGCACATTCTTGCTACATCCTCTTGCTACACACTACAAATAACAGTACTTATTATTAAGGTATTGGGGAAAATTATTCCTTCTCCTTCCCCTCCTTCCTGTATCATCAATTGTGTGTCATGACACAAACCTAAAGATTTAGCTAGCACCATTGTGCAGCTTCAACTTCTGTGTGCAGATTCTGACACTGCTACAGAATTCTTAATAGGTCTGCATGGCCTTATTCGATTCCACATTTCAGTTCAGTGAAGTTGAATCAAAGTTGGTTGCTGGGGCACAATGATGCAGTTAAGAGAATGCATGGAAGAAATATATGGCTAAATGAATATGAAGCAATATCCCATGAAGTATGTCATTACTTTCTACCTAGCTTTTTTCTGGAAAAAAAAAAGCTCAACTGTTATTAGATCTGTCCTATTTTAAGAAGCTGTTGTTAAATTACAGTATAAGGAGAAATGACCAGTGTAAGTGAATAGAACAGCAGCTTTTCTGCTGTGAGCATTGTGCACTAGAGAAATATTTCTATAACAAAAAGTGGGTATCATTTCCTTAGAAAATTAGTGGGAAGGACTGTTTAAAAAGTGATAACTTTAACTGATGGAAAAAGATTACTGAAGGCAAAATCTCATCATTTCACAGTACCTTTGCACAAAGGCCCAGGTAAAAGCATAAGCCTGGGAGATTCACAATGTCAGTAGTGCTGTTCCAGGACTCATTTGGCGTCTGATCAGTTTTAGATTGGAAGATGCAAGACACACTGTGGTTTCTCTCAGAACTCATTTTGTAACTTCTGTCTTTTTTTCATATTTTTTTTTTCTATCCTACACCTAAAAAGGTGTAATTGATCATTAATGTGTATAGTAATATAATGGCGTCGGGTGCAGATAGAAACCTTCAGAGGAAGGTGATGAGAAAGGGAAGATGTAAGTCCTGAAGCACAATCAAGGAGGAGGAGACTTATTTTTATGGCATGAGCTGCACGCAATTGCAGAGGAAGATTATCTGAAAGGGCTAAATGTGATATGTATGTCCAAAGCTGTTGATCTGAACGCATAAGCAAAGCATATCAACTATATCTGGTCAATCTGAGAATTAATATGCTCTTAGAATTAACATGCTCTGTATACACGTCTCTATTCTCTGATATTACTGGCAATTAGAGGCAGAAAAAATGTAAACATAGTTTTCTGCTCTTCTTTTAGCATTCTCTTGAAAGTTTTCAGAAACAGAAAACTTAGATCCTCATGTCCAAATTGATATCACCACTTTCAGCCTTCCGGATGAGTTTGGTTCTTGATCATAAATGAGATGTTGTCAGTGGTCTACTGCTATTAACAGCGGAGAGCAATTTATCTGAATGAATGCTCTCAAACAAGGAAGTCCATTGAAGTTAATGTATATGGAAAAGAATTAATGCCTGTATAAATTTGAAAAAGTTAGGAGTTATACCATCAGAATTTATTTATGCAGTGCGATGTGTATCATCACATTTTATTAGAGCAAAGACAGAGATTTCACTTGTTTCAAAACAACAGAAGATAGGATCAAGTTGTTTTTTCATTGTGGAAGATTTGTCATCCCATGAGACTAGCTGTTTAATTCACAGGCAGAATGAGCTAGACTAAGTAAATAAGCAAAGGCTACGCAGCAATCTGCAAAGGAGTAAAAGATGTTTCTCTGAAGCCAAAGAGGGCTGTAGGATGGATCCATAGCTCAGGTCCCTACTGCAGCTTAAAGTCTCTTGGTGATGGAAGCAGCTCACCTGCCTGATAACTGTGGTTCCCAGTAAAATGGTTGGTAAGCATGGCAGAATAATTTTATCAGTTTGATGGCAGCGGAATCTTTTCTCATTTATCTTTAATTTTCTGCCTTCTTCCTTTATGCATGAGAAGAACCAGGTTAGATGTCCTTTCATTGGCTATAATCATCATAGCAATGATTCACTGATGTGGACAGGCAAAGCCTGAAGTCACTTAAGATTCTACTTGCAAAGTTTCCAAAGATCTGCCCTGCTGTTGTTTTTAATATATATTCTTTTTTTTTTTTTTTTGCTAGAGTTTGTAATTTAGTTCAGCTGCACAGACTAACACAAGACTGCATAGTCCATGACTAGAACTCCTAGACTCAGCGTTACTTATTATTGCTGTAGCAACTTGTAAAGAAAACACTTCATTCAAAATATAAGCATGTGACAGAACTCGGAATCTTTTTCAATAAGTGAAAATAACTCATTTTTATCTTTGCTGAACCAGAAACATACATTAAGTTTGTTGGTTCACGGCCCAGCATATCTTGTAGCTAGTTTGTGTCTGGAGATCCTCTTGTTACACTCAAGAGCCAAGTCTGTAGTTTATCCATTTCTAATTTAAATGTTTTTAGTGATGTTGAATATTTTCCCTGACTGCAAATCAAGATTCATAATTCCCAGTAGCTTCAGAGCCTGCCAAGAGTAATGGCTTGTGCTGGTAGTCGAGTTTGCTTTCATATCAAACATATGGTGCTCTTTATCTGAGTCTTCAGAGACAAAGCTTGTCCAAAGTCTGCAGGATTTGATTAGGCTGCATTCTTCCTCTCCCATATACAAGAATGTTTATGCACTCACATAAACTCACACTCCTCTATCCCTCCCGTACATATATGTTTATATGCACACACATATATTCCTCATAAGGAGGGATGCCTTTGTGAATGACTGACTTGAATCAGCCATTTACTTATTGGTTGCATGTACATCACACAGTTGTTGACTGCTTGGCTTGTATGACTGAGGACAGCACTAAGAAATCTGACTAGTTGATGTTTCTGTAATGGCAACATGTGTCTAAGGGAGTTCAAGAGTCTTCTCTCTACTCAATAGCCTTTACCTCTACTCAGCACTGGCAAGAAATATCTGAAATGTGGTATCCAGTGCTGTGCTCCCAAGACAAAAGAGATGTGGACATTCCTCTCCTCTCCTCTCCTCTCCTCTCCTCTCCTCTCCTCTCCTCTCCTCTCCTCTCCTCTCCTCTCCTCTCCTCTCCGTCTTTTCTCCTTTCCTCTCCATCTTTTCTCCTTTCCTCTCCATCTTTTTTCCCTTCCCCTTCCCTACCCATTTCCCCTTCCCTACCCGTTTCCCCTTCCCATTTCCCTTCCCTTCACGTTTCCCTTCCCTTCCTGTTTCCCTTCCCTTCCCGTTTCCCTCCCCTTCCCTCCCCTTCCCGTTTCCCTCCCCTTCCCTCCCTTTCCCTCCCCTCCCCTTCCCTTCCCTTCCCTCCCCTTCCCTTCCCTTCCCTTCCCTTCCCTTCCCTTCCCTTCCCTTCCCTTCCCTTCCCTTCCCTCTTCTCTAATTCTTTACTCTTTTTACTAATCCCTTTTCTCTTTTTCTATTTCTTTTTATTTTCTTTCCACTTTACCTTCAGCCTTTCCTTTTCAGAGAAAGATTTTTAAATGTTAAGAGTGAACAGGAAAGTCAGAGTGGTTCCAGAGTGGATGGAAAGTCTACATGATTACCATTCACTGTCCCTTTTTCAGAGCCTTTTAGCATGTCAAACTCTAGCAAATATGTTTTGGATATTAGAAGAATTTATATTAGTGAACGTATATAGCAATATTTATGTGTCCCCAGAGTATGTTTCTGCATCATCCTGAGTATCCCTCTGTAGATAATGCATGTCAATAGCAGCCAGTGAAATCTAAATCGTTCTGAAGTTGATGTTTTTATTCAAGTGACCCTCACCCTGAAAATCTACTGCCTGTATTGATTAGATCTGTAATTAGTATAATAGGAGCCCAGAGCCTGGGCATTATTCTCAGGGGGAGACTTTCACACCTTAAATTAGACGAGATGAACTGAGATGAATGTCATCTTCAGAATACCTTTTGTTATTAAAGAGTGTTTCTGTTAGTTCTTTGTGGTGTTTATGTGAATTGCAATCTTCTATGCTTCATATTACATGTAGCACAGCACACAAAAGATGTTTCATTTCAAAATATTATCTAAATAATACTTCACTATGAACGATTTTAATAATTGGCATAAATAATATGCACATGTTGGATGGAGGGGTCTGGTCTCTCCTTTTTTGACATTGTCTTGATTTACAATAAAGCATAATTTAAACAGGATGCTTCTAAGGCTTTCAGTATCAACAGGAAAGTTGCTCTCAGTTATGGGTTTAATAATATTAACAGACAATTTTTCCATCTCTTCCCTTTTCTTTGATACCAAGTAGCCTGATTTTCTCGCATAGCATATATATGTGAGCAAAGAAGTGAAAGCAGAATAAATGCAACCACTACAAAGGTTTGTTTCTACTTTTAACGGTGATGTTTATTACAGACAGCCAGAGCTGGTTTATAGGGCAGTGAATGCAAAAATACAATTTGTCTAACCTCAGAAGTCTACAGTACTCAAGGGTCTATAATACTCTTTGAGGTCATCCCAGGAGGCTTCTGTTAAAGCAATTACAGAAAAACATGCACTTAAAAAATAGTAATATCAAAAAACCTCTTCATTTACATTAGCTGCTTATATTAGTTGATGTAAACTTTTTATTCTGTAGACATCTACACATGATATGGTAGTTCATCCTATCAAATGAAAGTGTCTACTGGCTTCTTTGTGAAGAGAAATGGAAAACAGACAAATATTTCTGAGATGTATTCTCTTCATCAAAGTGCATCAATGGCACACTCCAGCTTCTTAGTGTATACTGGAGGAAAATGTATTTTCAAAACCAAATTCACTGTCCTCAAGGTATGGGAAAGACTGGCTTTTCTGAGGCTGTGTCTACTTCACTCTCAACTGTGCATTTTGGGATCACCTTGAGCAGTCACCCTTCCATTAGAAACAACTTTACATGTGCAAATCTCTGGGAATCCCGTGAATACTTATCAGTTATTCTTGCTTTTGCAGAGTCTGTGATCACCCCGTGAAGTGGAATGGATTCTCAAGGCATTTCACATTCATGCCCTATGTCAGTGTCTGCTTTGCTGATCACGGTGTGTTGAAACTGCTCTAAGCAACAAACACTAATTGTATGGAAGAAAAGCTAAGTTTTATGCAATGTATAATTGTGAATAAGTTTTCCTGCTTTTTTTTTTTTTTTTTTTACCCTTAGATGAAGACATGTTTTACCCAGCATTTTGTATTTTAATTGTGCCACCTTTGTATCTGGGGGATGTTATTTTTTTACCTCCAGATCTGGTGTTCTGTGCGTTGTAACATAGGTAGCTGAGAATTTATTTTTATTGTTTGTGTTTTTAACATGCTCCTGACTTCTAACTCTGCTCATTAGAAACTATGACAGTTAATGTGTTTTGTTTGACTCTTCTGTGATTATTTTTGTATATTTTAAATAGAATCCAGCTCAGATTCTCATTTCTGTACAGTGCTGCTTTATAATTTGCTCTGGCAAATATGAGCTAAATTATTTCAAAATTACATGAGTAACTTACAAACAATCAGCAAGATGCTTATTGGATTCTATGACTCTGTACTTATTTGATACCACTGTAAGCATAGAACACATTTATTTATTTATAAGAAACACTAGTGAAAGAGCAAGACAAACATTAAGACATACTGTGATCGCTTCTTTGAAAATGATCTGCAATGTGTTAAAAAAGTCAAGCAATGCATCTCTGAAAAAAAATAAAATTCTGTATTTGATTTGATCTCATAGGTTTCAACACATCCACCGTTTGGGATTTTGTTCCATTTTCATGCACAATATATTCTGCTGAAAACATGATTGAAAATGCCATTTAAATTCATCTTTAAATGTGTCATGTACTATAAATGCAGTTCTCCTCCAGTAAATAAAGCATTTCAAAAGTGGTTTTAATTAAAATGTCATAGGAAGTAGTGAAGAGAATTTCACAAAATGATATGTTTTTATTCCTCATGAAAAGTCACATCTTTTACCAAAACAGTGTCTCACCATACAATACAATACAATACAATACAGTACAGTACAATAAAATAAGTGAGCTCTCAATGAAATGTGCGTTTGGTTACTATGAAGGTTTAGAAAAAAATAGCAAATATTAAGCTAGATTCTTACCTTCACTGATTTAAATTACATGCTTCCTTGCCAAAAAGCTAACACAGTAAAGGTTGAGCGCTGAAAATGCTCAGCAAAATCTTGCAGGTACTTAAGCTCATTCAGGGTCAGAAGTGCAAAGCTTAATTAGGTTTGGGAGGAAACAGAAGTCAGAGTTTTGGGGTTGTTGTCGTTGCTAGGTTTTGTTTGCTTGTTTGTACTCTTTTCATCTATCCGGCAAAGTCAACATAACTGGATCATTATCATATAATTGTTCCAGTTGGAAGGGACCCTTAAAGGTCATCTAGTCCAAACACTTGTTATTAAGAAAAGCATAGTAATAGGATGGTAGCTTTTTTTTTTATTATTTTCTCCAAGCAAGTTGAGTGTTGTTCTGAAATTACAAATGTTACCTGCTACTCTACCTTACCACAGAGTGTTTACTGTTGAAGCAGAGCTCCCTGTTTATTTCCAGCACAACCTGCAGGCTGCCTCTATCAGCAAAACTGGCACATTCTCTAGTGATGAAAATGATTTTCATCAAGTCACTAAGAGCTGAAGTGAACCTAGCTCAAAGCTGATTGCAAGCAAATATTTTGAGAGCCTCAAGTTGCATTTGAACAAGAGATTCCAAATGAAAATCCCTGCCCATTCACTAATCCCATTCATTAGAGGCTCAGTGATTACCTCATTAGTGTGATGCAGTGCAGAAACTGGTGGGGCTTACAGCGAGCCAGCTAACACAGCTGATGGATTTGGCACAAATGACTCAGGTGAAGTATTTCTCTGCTGAAACGATAGATGCTTTCTGGCTTAGAAAAAGCATGAAGTGTCCACATCGTAACATAGCTTATTATAGACTTTCTTTTAATAGCAAATGCTAGTTTAATATATATATTCCACTATGTTGCTATAAAACAGTGTGTTCCTGAAGAATGTATGTTTGTGTTCCTTACCCACATCACGAGCACATTTGCCTTCTCCTTCCTCATAGCAAATATATCCAACAAAGCTGTTAAAGAGCTGTTTATGCTGCTCATGTTAGTGTCCCTTTATAAGAAAATACTGTGGGCACACTGGCACAGTTTTATTCTTTTTTTTTTACAAGAACACACAAACAGACACCAAACTCAACACCTCCCAAAAGCAGGAGCTTCAGTTTGGACAGATCCCCCTGAGAAACCATGGGGAGAGGGTTAGTGTGAAAATGGGGAAAATCCTAACAAAGCTGTTTGTCATGGGTTCTGTAAGCTGGCAACAGAGGAATAAAACTTAAAAAAAATCTTAATGAAAGAAATTAAAAGCAGGCATAGCAGAAACAGTGCAAGCTAAACACCAAATTCAATTATTAAGTTGTCCTCTTCTTTAGAAGAGGAATAGGAAACAGTTTTTGTCTGTCATGCCTTAAGGGCAAGTGTGAACAAGATAAAAGAGTCCTGTATGGCATGTTGGTTACTGTCACCTAGATAAGCCATTCAGAAGCCAGTAAAATTTCTTAGATCTGAGGTCTTTACAAAGGGGGGTTCTTCCCCAAAGACAGGTCTGTAGAGGTGTCACAGCTGGAACAGCTGTACCTACCATTAATTGCTCAACAAATTTTTGACCTTTTGGCAACACATTTTTATGGGATGCATAAATCTATTGTCCTGGGAATACGATTGCTTAAGCTAACCAGAAGGAAGTCCTGAGGAGCGTTATATGTCTTAACCCACACAGAGCTGGACATAAAAAACATTCTACAAATTCATCTCAAGGTTCTGTATCACCTGGCATTCAGTTTCCAACAGTGGACATGAATAAGCATCTAAGGAATGAAAAGTATACCTGTGATCATTTCTTCCTAATAGTCACTCAGTCTCTATTTTTAATTTCTCCATGATGGGGATTTGATGAATTGATGGTTAGACTAAATGATTTTAATGGTCTTTTCCAACCTTAATGATTCCATGATTCTTTGATTTCCTGATGTGTAATGTATCTTGTGTAGGAGAAACGAATTTCACAGATCTGCTACTTACTATGAAAACTAGTATACAAACAAGCAAAACTCTTTTGAGTTTAAACTTGGGCTCCTACTGCTGTCATGTAATATGCTTTTCTCATAGTTCTTTACTATGAGAGTGGTGAGGTGCTGAACAGGCTGCCCAGAGAGGCTTTGGGTGTCCTGTCCATCCCTAGAGGTGTTCAAGGCCAGATTAGACTGGACCCTGGGCAGCCTGGTTTAGTATTAAATGGGGAGGCTGGTGGCCCTGCCTGCTGCAGGGGGGTTGGAGCTTCATGATCTTTGGGGTCCCTTCCAACCCAACCCATTCTTTGATTCTATGATTCTGTTTCTTCCTTCCATCAAAAAATGTGGTTACCAATCTGTCTTAATACACCCTTGCTATCCCATCCTGATTTTTCAGACCTCCATTACATAATCCGTAGCACATGAACATGGTGTGAACAGGATCATCCAACTTGTCCTTTTCCTTTTTGAGTTGGATAACTTGCTTTGTCTGGCGGACTTATTCTGACAGTCAGTTATAAAAAGATCCTAAACAGTAGTTTTAAACTATACGCCTGATTTTCAGACAGCTGTTACTAACTGGAAGGAGTTCAATCTGTTCTCTGTGTTGTTTTATGGTAACCAAGCATCTCCTACCTCTTGAATATGGTATATTTTGATCCGAAGACAATTGAAGTTATAGGAAATAAAAGATGGTCTGTTTTGATCATCAGCTCTGATAATTCCTTAGGCGAGTGCCAGAGAAAGTGGAATGGAAATGGCAGCGATTGATACAGTTCTCCACTTCAGCACTTCATGCTTCTAAGAAGATATGGAGAAAAACTGAAGAACAGTGGGGCAGGTCAGCACATCACCCCCTAACAACTTATTAATCTACAGTTTTGTAGGGTCCACAAGACACTGAAAACGGTTACAATTCATCCATTTGGTATTAGTATGTTAACCCAAGTAATTAGGTGCAGCCTCTTCCAAAGCATCAGCCCAGAGCACATTAATGATCCCTCACATGGCACCTGAACCATGTTTCTCAGGCTTTCATTCACCACAGGCTACCACTCTGTGAAGCTGAGTGAAACCTAATTAGACTACAGAGAAATATGGCTATAATAGGTCTGAGGCAGCTTAGTAAAATGTAATAAGGGAGTTTAATTGGCTTCTTCTTTGTATTACTGATTCCAAATTTTGTCATTTGCTGTGGACAGTGGACCAGCTTTTCTTTACTCTGCCATGGAAAGAATATGAATAAAACATACGATGATGAGAGGTAATCTGTTTGACAATTACACGCAGAAATGGCAAACATTGATAGTTTCACAATAAAAGTCAGGTTTCCCTCAATCTTGTATGCTGCTGACAATGGAAATGTCTATTTTAAGAGTATCAAATGACATTTAGGAAAGAAATTAAGTCACTGCTGTTTTGTAACTGTTAGTTCCAGTGAATTATAGCTAATGCCAAGTCCCTGCTTATCATAGCTAGCAATTGTAGGGACTTGCACAAAAGTAAATAAAGACTTACCAAAGTGAACATTAGGTTTTTTTGGTTGATATAAACAGAGCAAGGAAGCCCCCTATGGTGACATTACAGGAAATGCGTAAGAAATTGAATATTTAGAAGATTTACTTTACTAATTTCTTTACTTACTCTGCTAGGATTTAGAAAGACCTCTTCACCTCTCTGTAACACTTCTGTACCACCCTTCCCATGGTACAGCCCTTACGTGGCAAAGAGGTACTCTTTGGAGAGACTATGAGACACAAATGATGTTGTTAAAGCTTTATTACTTCTATGTGATGTACAACACAGAGATGATATATCTATCAGAATCACACTTCCCCTTTCAGCTTGAGATCACCTGAAATTGGTCAACTGGCTAATCGGAACAGCAAACCAAAGCCTTGCAAGTCACATCTCTAGCTTTTTGGCTAAATCAATAGGATTGCTAAAATCTACATTGGAAGGCCTTGCAGACCCTGGAGTGGAAACAACTTTTTCCAACAAAGGTTTTTGTAAGATTAAAATAGCTTGATGGAGCTCAGTGGTGTGAGAGATTACTACCATCACCTTAATGCCATCCAGACGGTAGAATTCCTCTCACCTTGCTTTCCTAAGTGTTAAAAACACTTTTTTTTTTTCCAAGCACCTCCAGTGAGAGAGCCTCTACCAGCTCCCTGAGGAAATTACTCCATGCCCCAATTGAAATCACTTTTGAAAATATTTTGCTTGAATTTTCAATTTCCTGACTACAGCTTCTGCCTGGTTGCTTTGCAACCTAAAGTCATCTCTCCCCCCTCGGGAATAACACCAGTACAGTAGGCTGGGTCTTTTTTTTCATGGGAAAATGTCACTAAGTTCATGGCAGGCAATGGTGGAGCCTCCTTTTTTCTCCCTTTTTTTTTTAAGGCCAGGCTGGATGGGGCCTTGGGAAGCCTGATCATCTTATAGTTGGCAACTCTCTCATGGCAGGGGAGTAGGAACTAGATGGTCTTTGAGGTCCCTTCCAATTCTAGGCATTCTATGATTCTATGATTTCTTCACAAAGCTTTTAGAACTGAATGAAAGATCCTACAGCAGGTACCCACAGAGTTAAATTTCTTTGTGTATGAGAAAATGCTACACAATGAGGAAAAGATGTGTACTGAGCATAACAGAATGAAAAAGATTAAGTCAGAGAGGGATGGTGAGAGATTTCTTTGAAGAGAAAATGCTTGTGTGAGAGAGCAAAGGGAAATTTTGCCCAAAAGAAGACCTGAGGGAAACCTGTTGGGATGGTGTTTGCATAAATTCCTCTTGTTATCTTCAGAGCAGCTGTTTGGGTGCTGTATCTGAGAGAATAGATGAGAGGTGTGCTTGAGGGAGAGGCATACAAACACAGCATGGTGGTGATGGATTGATGGTTGGACTAGATGATCTTAGTCGTCTTTTCCAACCTTAGTGATTCTGTGATTCTATGAAACAATGCAGAGTGCAAAGGTGATTGTGTAGTTGCAAAGGCTGCTTTTGTGTTGTTTGTTCTGACATCCCTGCAGGATTTCAACCCTAAATGAAGAAGGGAGGAACACACAGAGACACTTTGTGGTGCAGCCGATGGAAACTGGAAATAATGTTTGGTTGTAAGATCATGCAAGGTGTTTACTCAAAAAAAAATGATTTTAGCAAAAAGCAGGCGTGATTACTGCAATCCTGTCTGGCTGTGTTTCTAACTCCCTAGTAGCCAGCTTGCTGTCACACTAGATAAAGAAATAACAAAGCAGAAAAAAAGAACCCTATGGGGAATGTTGCCATACTGGAACAGCTTCGTAATGCGTGGCGTACGGGCAGTTAGTAAAACGCAGAAGCATGCAGTGAAAACTGACACTTCTGACAGCAGCAGGTAGGAAAACATCAGACAGCTGTGATTACACCGTCCTTCGCCTTTTCTTTCTTTATGTCTCTGCTGAGATGTTTCTGACATGATCAGCAGCAATGCTAAGTGCTGAAAAGCCTGTGCCAGGATCTTCTAGTCCTGCACATTCAGAGTACAGACTCAGCAATTCTTCAATCAACAGGATGTTTTCAGAGATCGTTTGCTTCACAGGTAAGTTGGATTCACTGCACAGCCTGGATTTGCCTCATCTTACTTTAAGCATCTAAATAAGAAGCACAATCACTTTCAGCTCCCTTTAGAAGCAGTGAAAAGAGACCTTGGGATAGGCTGCAGTACCCTCTGGAGATACTTATGTATCCCAAAGGTGGCTGTGCTCAAAATTTAGAGTCTCAGTTAGATGGGTAAGTCCAGATTTAGCATCCCTTCACAGTGCTCCAATACCAAATCTCTCTCTTTTGGGCTATAAAGTTTCATCAGGGCTATTTCTTCTCACTTTTCCAAATCTCATATTGATCCTTCCTATGCTTTGAAGTGCTACTAACCTTCTGAGACTGCATCTTCATTTGCCATGAGAATATATAAAACACTCCACCGAGGTAGATAGGCAAGGCTGAGGAAGGCAACCTTTGTTATGAGCTTCCAGGTTCTTGTAATATTTACTGTCCCCAAGGAGAAAATACATATTCTGAGAATATGGATGTCTAGTAAAAGCAATCCCTTCCCTTCTCTTTCCCTCTCCCTTCCCCTTCCCCTCCCCTTTCCCTTTCTCTTTCCCTTATAGCCAGATAGTTGAGTGTTTGGGTTGGAAATTCCTGTTAATTCTCTAGTT